TGATGTTTTGCAAAACTGATTATGCAAAAAATATCATGGCAAAAAAATTCACATGATCATATGAAATGTCGGATAATGTGATTTATTACTTATTATTCAGGAAAGTTGAGATGCTAATTATCTAATTTTATTAATATTATATAAATTCAATAATCGGCCAGGAACGTGAGCAGATTGACAATTTGTATCATTGGGCGGTGTAATGCTAAGTTTATTACAAGTTCGAAATATAGGTTTGTAAAAGGGTTTCATAAAATGACTAACAAAGTTCTTTATGATAATTAACAGTTTTATAACTACATACAAACAGATGATACTATTTAATTACTCAGAGATAGGACTCTCAGACCAACATTGTCTGCATCCCACATGTCAATTAGACTTTAATTCGAATCTAGCTTTATTAAAACAAAATGGAAAGGTTTCTTTACATCTTAGAAGTAAAAGCGTTTTTTCTGTTATACGGATACTATCATTACATTAACCGTCTCATTATATAGTATTCTGTTACTGCTATGAATTGTACAGTTCTCAATTCCTTCTACGATCTATGTAGTTCCGATTTTTTCCTTGTGTTTCTTACAACCAAGTCTAAATTCGAATTAAATTCGTAATTAATGAAATAATAAATATAGAAAAATGTAAAAAATATAATACTATTAAAATAAACTATATGAAATATTTATAATATACCGTATATGTGAAATGAATAGATTTCATAATAAAATAAATAGGGATAAAATTTCGAGGGAACCGTGTTATCATGTTATACTTCAGCTTCTGAAGTAATAAAAAACAGATTTAGAAAATAGATATCAGACGTAACAATGATCTACAAAAAAACACTTAACCTGTTAATAATTCTTGGTAGTAATTTTTGTTTATGTCGTCGCTATGAACATATGTTCCATGTCCTATCAATTCTAGGTCCACCTTATCTTTATATGCCTTTAGTCTACTAAAATCAACACTATTGGATTTAAGCTTTATTTTCCACATAGTATAAGGGCTAAGCATTATGTCACTCATATTAATTTTCTTATATACTTCTTTATCTTTCTTAAAACTATAATAAATTTCAATAGCTTGATCATTTCTTATTACATAAAACTTATCACCATATCTATAATATGAGTTGCCTAGATGAATCATCGTAACGTCAAAGTTTTTAAGCTCGCTATCAATTTCATTTTGCATTCCATTATCTATTGATTTAAATCTGATTTCTATTTTATCAAACTTAATTGCACTTTTATTACGGTCACTTTCTTTTATATATGCTTTTATAGTTACTTCTTCTCCATTTAATAATTCTGATATTTCCTGGCTATAGTTTTTATTTTCCCACACAAAAAATGGTGATGTATCACTAATACCAAATTTTCCATCCACCAAAATTCCGTCCTTCTGATTAATAGTTGTATTATAGCTTTTAATGTCTGTTTTCAAGTGTTATTTGTTCCACAATGCTGTTAATGGCTTCTTTACTATTATCTAACTGTAAACTAAATACATTTGAATACATATATGCAAATGGAAACACCCATTGTCTGAATGCGCTTATTGCTTTTTTATAATTTCCTAATGAAATAATAATAATAAAAATAATAGGGCGGTCTGGAACCTTACCCGATTTTAAGCAATAGCAGCCAACAATAATATAGTACCCCACTGTAGTAGTCTTGCTTTTCCAAATTTTAATATTTTTTCTCCTAAATAATTCATAGTCAACGTATAAATTTATTTTTCGCCTATGATAATAAAATAGCATCAGCGTTTTTCATAAAGAAACTGGTTAACATTAAAAAAAATTCTTTATAAGGAAGGTACATAGCTAATTTCTCTTTCGAATTAGCAGACCTTATTCAGAAATTTATAGTTAACAGAGTAAAGATCTAAAATAGCATGCATGCACGTTTAGTGACCCATATTCTTATACGTTGAAAAATGTACACATTTGGTGAAGACCAGCTTACAGACCAAATGCTCTTCTTCCTTAATACTCCGCAGTATCTGGCGTAGCACACTTGCTACGTTAAATTATTCACTCATTTCTAAAAGTGAAAAATTCTAACCTTACATTTACTAGTTTCTCTCAGTTATATGACAACCATAAGTCCTTTTAGTATGTAGAAATTCAGGTTAAGGCAATAAAGTAAAATATGCAGTCAACTCTCTTAACGAACCTCTCTATAACAAAACCTGGAAAATTTTCGAATTTCATATTAGTTCGGTGTAAAAGAGTTATGGAAGGACCCGGATAATTCTAAGGCAGGTGGTATGGCAAAAGAGGGTAGATTTTTTGGGCCAAACGTGTCTAAATTCTGGTCAAAATCAATTTTTAATTTTAATTTTGACCAGAATTAAGGCAAATTTGGCCCAAAATCTACCCTCTTTTGCCCTACCACCTACCTTAGAATCATCCGGGGTCCTGTTATGGGTTTCTTAAAAAAACATAATAAATTTATATACGGGACTATTTTTGTAGCCGGAATCAACTGTTAGTAACTGTTATTGGTTTTTGCAATTTTCTTCTCGCGTGTAAGTATACGTATTAACCGCAACAAATTTGGACCGGCAGATCTTCGATTTTGATTGGCTAACGGCCGAGGATCTTCAAAACTTTGGCCCACATTACAAAATTGTTTACTAAATTCCGGCCGGAATTAACTTTTAATTTTTTCATTACAAAATTCGAAATTCTTAAAATATAAGCCCGCATTATGGTAAAATTGATTCAGGAACAATTTTCACTTACAGCTGTTTTCATAAATTCTGGGACAACTGATAAAAATTGATCAGCCGAATTCGATAAGTTCAATAAGTTTTTGAATTCGTCGAAATCAAATTCCGATAACACCGAATCCAAAAACTTATCGAATTCGGCCGAAATAATTTTTATCAGTTGTCCCAGAATTTATGAAAACAGCTGTAATGGGCGGCTATGATTTCATTAGCAAAATTATGAGTAATTCCGGCCTAATTTTTTGATCGTCGCTCTTAGGTAGGGATGTTATAGTCCTAAAAATGACTGTTAAAAACCTAGTTCAGATCGTGGTTCCGGTTAATTATAGTCCTGGTTAAATATAGTTCTGGTTAAATATAGTTCAAGTTCAAATTCGGTTAAATATAGTTAAGTTCAAATTCGGTTAAAAAACCATTTGAATAATTTTTTGAATATTTTTAATTTTGAAAGTTAATTACATTAATAAATCTGATTGCATTATATTCTATAAGTTAATTACGCAATTGCATAATAGTTTATTATTAACTTAAAAGTTAATTACACAATTGCATGATAATTTATCATTAACTTAAAAGTTAATTATGCAATTGCATAATATTTTATTATTGACTTAAAAGTTAATTATGCAATCGCATAATATTTTATTTTTTTACTTAAAAGTTAATTACATATTTGTTTTGATATGTTTGCTTATAAAAGCCTCAAAATGAGACGTTTGATTATATAATTTCAATTTTCTGAAATTAGTTTACATCTTCCTTTTATAATAATCATATCGACTATTCAAGATGAACGTTATTGAAGATTTAGCTTTATATTTGGATGATAACAATATTAATATTGATATTGATATGCAATCTCAAATAAATATTTTGAATCAAGATTAAGCTACCCTACCAAATTTAAATTTGTCTATCTCAGTTTGAGATTATTATGATAAAGAATCATCTGAACATCCTAATCGGGCTGTTTGTAGAATTTGTAAAGATTTACAGGACAGTAAAGTTTTTTAGTTAAAACAGGTATATCTGCCTTGCACTGACATTTTAGAGTTAAACATCATATTGAAATTTCAGTAAATCATCATAATTTAGCATATACTTGATATAATCCTTATAGAAGCAGAGAAAAGGCTGATCATGATAATTTATTAATTACTTAGTTTATTGTAAATTATTAACCTTCTACAGTTGTTGATAATACTTATTTTATAGATTGGGTTAGAAAGCTTGATTCTCATTATATTTTAACATCACATTAAACTGCAAAACAAATGATTATTAATGAATTTAATCATCAACGAGAAAGAATTTATCTTGATATTATAAAAATTTCTGAAAAAGTTTCATTAACTACAAATATGTAAACAGATATTAATAAAGAAGCATTTTTAGGATTAATGATTGAAAACTTTGCAGATTTTTACTAGATATTATTCTATTTAAATTCTTTATTTAGGAATTAATATAGTACAAGCAATTACTAATGTATTACAAAAATTTAATCTTTATAACAAGTGTGTGGCTCTTACAACAGACAATGTATCATCAATGATTGCATATGGTTGTATTTTAGCTACTGAAATTGAGAAAGAATTTAATAACTTGTTATTTTCTCATTATCATTGTACTATACTTGTATTGAATTTAGCCACTAAACAGGGTCTTAAATTAGTTTCTAGTTCAGTAGATAAGGTTCAAAATTTGATGATCAAGATTAAAAACTCAACATAAATATTTAACGAATTAGAAGATTTATGTGAAGTCAAAAAAATTAAATATCTAAAACCTGAAGTGGTTATAGACACCAGGTGGAATTTGACACATGTCATGTTAAAAAAATATGAAAAATAGAAGTTGTATTATTACTATTATCAACTATGTGTCTAGAAATTAAAGAACTACTTTCAAATAATAATAATAAAAAACAAATTTAGGTATCTATATTCAAATAAATAATTTATAACTGTTATTATATAATATATATTATATTAATTAATTTATAAATTTAAAGAATACTATTTTATTATTGGAACCATTAAAAGTTACAACCAAATATCTTTCATAAGCCACTCGTGCAGATGTTTAATTTTATTTTAATAAAATCCAAATAGATTTTGATTTTTATATTGAACAAAATAATTTATACAATCTGAAATTGCTTTTTTCATCTTTTAAAAAATTGAAGAATATTTGGCAATAATGGATGAAACATCAGTTGTATCAACTATCCTTGATTCTCGTATGAAGTTAAATGCATTTTACAATAATGAAATTCAGAATGCAAAACAACAAATACTCAAGTTAATTGATTACTATCAAAATGAATCATATATTGAAGCACCAGTAAAGTCTTCTATTAAAAATTCTAAAAAGATACAAGACTATTTTCATGAACTTCAAAATCAAGAACAAGCAAGCTTTTCACAGAATGAATTATCAACTCAGCAAGATCATTTTACAGAATTGGAAGTATATCTTGCAGAACTAGCTAATAAAAATAATGATGATCCAGTTTTATACTAGAAAACTAATTATTAAAAATTTCCAGTTTTATCAAAAATAGTCTGTGGTTTCCTGTCTATTTAAGCAGCAAGTGGTGCAAGTGAAAGAGTGTTTTCAATGGCTAGTCACACTATTCAAAAACAAGAAATAGAATTCATCCGGAAACTGTCAAAGCATCTTTATGTATAAAGAGTTGGATTCAAAATAGAATCGATGAACAATAAATATACAAATTAAATTGAACTCAATGATAATATACTGTAGTATTAGCTTATACATATTACAAACAGAACATTACTGATAGTAATTAGTAGATTTGCTCATATAGTTAATTAAATGTATAAATAGTGATAGTATCATAATAAATATGTATAATAGTTCAATAATAAATAAATATGCTATTTAAATATATATAATTCAATTGGTTATAATGTATTTTTAAACTAAAATTGTGCAAAAACTGAATTGAACTAGTAACAACCCTTGGTTAAATAACGGTCCCAATTATGGTCCTTGGTCCAGTCTAGTTCACAAATTAACAGCTAAGTGTATAAATAGTCTTTTATAAACCTAACCGAACCAGACTGAGCTATAACATCACTACTCTTAGGTAATCAAAATCAAGAATCTGCCAGTCCAAATTGTTGTGGTAGTGATAGGCATTTTGATTTGTCTCTAATTTTGAACGAAGATATCTCGACAACCACATGGCTAAATTCGATGAATTTTTTTTATTTGAAGTCTATAAATCCATAGAATTCAAATCTAAAGTTTTATCAGATTCAAGCAAGTAGTTGTTATTATATCTTCACTCAAAGTTTTTAAAATTTTTATTTTTTACTAGGATCTGCACGTCAATCAGTATCAAAAAAATATCAAAAATGATGTTTTGCCCTATACTTGGATCTGTGTTATATTCTAATGCAAAGCTAAATTGTAATGAAGTACACAAGTCTCTCCCCAAGCTGTGATATCAGCCTATTATTAGGAATATACTCAGTTCTAAAAAAACTAGTCTAGATAACTATAGAACTATTAAAAGGACTGGTTCATATAAACAAATATATCACCCAATCAAATTTCTTGATAATATATAAATAGAATGTAATTTTATAATATTAAAAGAGCAAATATTATATTTATTATTTACAAGAGTTATTTTCTATATTATATAAATATTATGTGCACTCTGTATTATCTAAGAGCTATTTAGAAACTATCCAAGAACTTAATATTCTCTTTCATACAATGATCGTTTTATACATCTAGCTAAAATTACTGATTACCAAGTATGAGATAAGAGCTACAACTATTTACAAGAATGTAGTAATGGGAATTACTATGCTGGAATGTAGTAATTAGGGCTCTGATGGACCCAAATTAAGGCTAGACTGTAGGCAAGTTTGAGTCCAGTTTGAAATTCAAACCAGACTCGAACTCAAACAATTTTAAAGCTCAGTTCAATCTGGGTTCGAATATTAAACTTTTGATTTGGTTTGAGTTCAGTTTGAGCCTGGTCTGAAAGTTTGCAAACATGTTTGAAAGTTCGAAACCCACTTGAGCTTATTAAAAAAAATAAATAAAATATTTACAGCTATTTTCATTATTTCTAAAACACCTATAAAAAAACTTGCCAAAAAATTTTTTGGTTGCTAATTTTTTCAGCATAATCAGTATATAAAAAATATAATATCAATGTTATAAATTAAATATATTTTTAGAATATTTCTATTTGTTGCTAGCGATGATTGTCACCAGATTGCATTTGGCCAATGATATCGCAGGATCAGGTGTAATATTCGTAGAACATGAAGCAAAGAAAATATTAAAAAATTGTGTTGGCTCAATTTTTTATATGAAACCACCCTTTGTATTTTAGTAAAAAAAATCTCTTGTAGAATTTTACTATATAATATGCTATCCAACACTGACTTTATTTGATTCTAACACTAATACTAATAAATTTTAGCATTTGTTTTGATCTTGCTGGCTGGTAAAATACAATCTGGTAATGATTGCCACCAGCGACACTAAGTTTTTATCTTTTTGAATTTGTTCAATTTTTGTTTACTGTAATATTGATGTCTAAATTAAATATGTTTTTGAATTTGTTCAATTTTTATTAACTGTAATATTGAAATAATATCTACATCAAAATTACATTATTGTTTCAATTTCAAAAATCTCTATAATAAATATAATACTGTTCTACATATAAATAATTTTATTATTATAATATCAACATTATTAAAATTTCATTTGAATGCTTGCCCAATATGTTTAGTATGTTTAATTTGTGC